TAAACCAACCAACCCAATCCAACCCAAATCAAACCAAACAACTCAACAACCCAAACCAACCCATCTCAAACCAACCCAAACCAAACCAAACCAAAACTTACTCTCTTTTCCATCCACTAAATTAGTCAGGCCCAAACCTAGAAGTAGTTCTTAGTCCTCCCGTGACCACACTGTGCTGGCTCTAAGCCTGCAGTGTATGTGGAATCTGCTCTGGTGTCTGTCTAAACCACCCATACTGTCCGGCCTCCAGTGGAGCCCCCTTCTGGCTCCCTGCCTCCCACACAACCACCGACAGTGGCATAAGTTACTCCTTAGAACTCTTTGGCTATTTCCCTTCATATTTAGAATAAGATTAAACTTCTTTCTAGAATGCACTCTGGTTCTAGACTTCATTCATCTCTTCATTCTCCTCCCATCCCTCTCTGTGGCCTCAGCCATCATGCCCCATTCTCCTTCACACTGAACTTAGTGCTCAGTGTCACAGCTGAGAGGGGTTGCCTACCAGCCCAGGCAAATTAATTCCCTCCATTTCACACACAGATTCTCTTGTGAGACCTGTTCATGTCATTTGTAGCTCTTTGTAGAATTTGCAAGGATCTTCCTTTTCATTGTTTGTTTGGGAGAACATTGTTTTACTCAGCATGAGAAGGTAATTTCTGAATGATATTATATGAAGGAAAAGTTGTGTGTACATCGTGGAACCAGGAGCCCAATTTCCAGGGTTTCAAATGCGCAGTTTGGTGTAGTCAGTGTAAAGACAGATGCAAACAAAACTGGCAGCCTCCTTCTCTCCAGTGAGGATGTTTCACTCCCTCATTTCCACTCAGAACCCTGACGTTGGGAATTGTTGATGTTAAGTGCCGCCACACTTATTGGGATGCACACAAGTATTTCCCTTGCTCAGCCTGCAACCCAGCTGGGTCTTTCTCAGGGGCCTGGGGCCCCTCGGAAACACAGTCACTGAGGAAGACAGCCCGTCTCCATGTCTGCAGAGGGTCTGGCCCAGCCCGGTGGGGGCTGCCTGGCTCCTGAAGACACGATTTTATTTTCCTTTGGATAAGGTGAACTGGCTCACACAGATGGTCACTCCAGTGGCCGGGTGAGTCTAGGATGGACTGGGTGACAAACGGTGCCATCCAGGCCTCGGATGGGCGGATTGGCGGCTGTTTGCCTGGAGAGCGGGGTGTCTGCAGGCTTCCTGAGCACGTTTCCAACTGAGAACTGCCTTGGTGCACACCATGTGGCTTAATGCTTATGCAGTGACTCAGCTTTTCTCTGCTGCCTTTGAGGAGAGAAGCTCTGGGTTTGGGAGAGATTTTATTTTTAATTATAGTTCCGATAGCAATAGTAAATATCCTTCAGGTTTAAAGAAAACTTTAATTGTTAAGTTCTTAATACAGCAATGTCACTATTGGCTGAGAGGGGTTGCCTACCATGAGGATTTTTGGATACAGATGTCTCGGCTCCAGGTGTCCTCCCAGTGCAGGCAGAGCACCTGCCACACAGGTTCTGCGACCTGTTTGTGGGAAGAAGGTGATGGGGGCACTGTCCTGCTCTCTGTTTCTCAAAGGCCTTCAGGTGAACATCCTCAATGGGTAGTGTTTTGGGTCCTGGACCCATTAGCCTCTACTGCAGGTTCTGAACACACAGCTGGCTTTGCTCCAAGTGCAGCTCCACGGAGGAAGGTGCTCTCAGGAGGAGCCGTGACCTGGAGGAAGGTGCTCCCAGGAGGAGCCGTGACCTGGAGGAAGGTGCTCCCAGGAGGAGCCGTGACCTGGAGGAAGGTGCTCCCAGGAGGAGCCGTGACCTGGAGGAAGGTGCTCCCAGGAGGAGCCGTGACCTGGAGGAAGGTGCTCCCAGGAGGAGCCGTGACCTGGAGGAAGGTGCTCCCAGGAGGAGCCGTGACCTGGAGGAAGGTGCTCCCAGGAGGAGCCGTGACCTGGAGGAAGGTGCTCCCAGGAGGAGCCGTGACCTGGAGGAAGGTGCTCCCAGGAGGAGCCGTGACCTGGAGGAAGGTGCTCCCAGGAGGAGCCGTGACCTGGAGGAAGGTGCTCCCAGGAGGAGCCGTGACCTGGAGGAAGGTGCTCCCAGGAGGAGCCGTGACCTGGAGGAAGGTGCTCCCAGGAGGAGCCGTGACCTGGAGGAAGGTGCTCCCAGGAGGAGCCGTGACCTGGAGGAAGGTGCTCCCAGGAGGAGCCGTGACCTGGAGGAAGGTGCTCCCAGGAGGAGCCGTGACCTGGAGGAAGGTGCTCCCAGGAGGAGCCGTGACCTGGAGGAAGGTGCTCCCAGGAGGAGCCGTGACCTGGAGGAAGGTGCTCCCAGGAGGAGCCGTGACCTGGAGGAAGGTGCTCCCAGGAGGAGCCGTGACCTGGAGGAAGGTGCTCCCAGGAGGAGCCGTGACCTGGAGGAAGGTGCTCCCAGGAGGAGCCGTGACCTGGAGGAAGGTGCTCCCAGGAGGAGCCGTGACCTGGAGGAAGGTGCTCCCAGGAGGAGCCGTGACCTGGAGGAAGGTGCTCCCAGGAGGAGCCGTGACCTGGAGGGAGGTGCTCCCGGGAGGAGCCCTGACCTGGAGGGAGGTGCACCCAGGAGGAGCTGTGAGCTGGAGGGAGGTGCTCCCTGGAGGTGCTGTGAGCTGGAGGGAGGTGCTCCCTGGAGGATCTGTGACCTGGAGGATGGTGCTCCCAGGAGGAGCCGTGACCTGGAGGGAGGTGCTCCCTGGAGGAGCCGTGAGCTGGAGGGAGGTGCTCCCTGGAGGAGCTGTGACCTGGAGGAAGGTGCTCCCAGGAGGAGCCGTGACCTGGAGGGAGGTGCTCCCTGGAGGAGCTGTGACCTGGAGGAAGGTGCTCCCAGGAGGAGCCGTGACCTGGAGGGAGGTGCTCCCTGGAGGAGCTGTGACCTGGAGGAAGGTGCTCCCAGGAGGAGCCGTGACCTGGAGGGAGGTGCTCCCTGGAGGAGCTGTGACCTGGAGGAAGGTGCTCCCAGGAGGAGCCGTGACCTGGAGGGAGGTGCTCCCTGGAGGAGCTGTGACCTGGAGGGAGGTGCTCCCAGTAGGAGCTGTGAGCTGGATGGAGGTGCTCCCTGGGAGAACTGTGACCTGGAGGAAGGTGCTCACGGGAGGGGCTGTGACCTGGAGGGAGGTGCTCCCTGGAGGAGCTGTGACCTGGAGGGAGGTGCTCCCAGGAAGGGCTGTGAGCCAGAAGGAGGTGCTCCTAGGTGGGGCTGTGAGCTGGAGGGAGGTTGTTTCCAGGGCAGGGCAGTCACCAAGGGCCTTCAGCAGAGCATACGTTGAAAGGCCAGAATGGGACTGATAGCTGTGTCCCTAACTCGTCTTCCTAGAAAAAGCCACAGAATGTATCAGTTACTCAGCTTGCCCTTATCTCAGCCAATGGGAATGCAAGGAAAACAAACCCAAGGCCAAAAGTATGCTGACCACCCCCCTGTCTTTGTCTAACCAGACCCTAGCTGCACCCTGACCTTGCGTCACTAGCCCCCGGCCAAAAGTTTGCCCACCCCTGCCCTAGCCCCCAGCCCTCACTCAACCAACCAGAATTGGCCAAATCAGTAGTCAGAGCCCCCCCCCCCCCCCCCCGCCCCACCCCAAGCCCTATAAAGTCTTTGTTCTTTCAAGACTCGGGGCTCTCTCACATCCTGCTGCTGCACCAGTAATGGAGGCAGAGGGACCTGGCTGAGCTTGAATAAAGGCTCTATGCTTTTGCATCGGACTCGGCACTCCCTGGTGGTTCTTTGGGGATCTTGAAATCTGGGCATAACAACGTGATCCCCAGGAATTGTGCTTACTCCTAAACTTGTCTGGTCCTGGTAACAGGAGTGTTTTGCTTACAGCACCAGGAAGGAGATATATCTCTGTGTCTAATTAAATCTGGCTCAGCCTGGCCTGAAGGGGTTGGTGGGAAGCCTGAACCAGTGTTTTCTCTGAGTCCCGCTGGCAGGTGGGCGGGGAGAGCTCTCTTCTCTGCTCCTGAGCCTGCCCTTAGACTGCCATCTGACTGGCCGCTTTCTGCTGCAGCTATGCTGTGGGCTCCGTCCTTCCCGAAGGCCATCCATACCTGCCCACCCGGGGCACCTGGGAGGCCGCACCGGCTGGCTCAGTCCCTACCACCCAGGAGAGCTTCCCTATGACCAGGACTTGTGTAGGCTCCTGCCTGCCAAGCAAAATAGAAAATAGGATGTTTTACGGCTACATTCCTAGAAAGACTAGTTGCGCACTAGCTGTATTTGTTGCTGGTACAGTCACGTTTTCCTTCTGATTGTAAAAGAAATCAGCACGAAAACATCTCCCCAGCCCGGCCCTGTCCCGTGGAGCTTGGACAAGTGGGCCACCCCCTTACCCCCTCCCTCCAGGGCCGGTCAGCTTCTTGCCCACAGGAGCCAAAGATTCGGAATCTGTTAGCGCTCCTGGGAGTGAAAGATGGAGAATTCTGAGTCCTTTAACCTTCTCGGGAGGCTGGGGGAGCTCCCTCTCCTATGCTTGCAAGGCTCTGTCCCCCAAACCGCAGACGGTTCACTTCCCAACTTTGTTTTCTTGTCCCTTTAAACTGTGCACCATCGACTGAGGGCGGAGGTGGGAGAGAGGGTGTGGCCACCCTGCCAGCCCAGCCTTTCTTAGTGAGCTCAGCCCTCAGCCACAGCACAGCCTTGGGGCAGTGTGGGGGCACCGGTCAGGGCGGGGCCGGGGGTACTGTCACTAGCGGGGACTCTGAGACCCAGCGGAAAGGCCTGGAGGTCCCAGCTCAGGCCTCTGAACGTCCTCAGGAGGAATCAAGCCGATGGAGGCAGGTGGTTTGGGCTGCCACCTGGGCAGACGCCGGGTCGCAGGGTCGGGCGTCCAAGGGGAAGTGGGACAGCTGTCAAGAATGAAGTTTTGGGGTTGTTACCTTGAGGGTCATAGTTCAGAACTTTTCCAGATTCACAGGTGTGTCTATTGCATAGTAATTTCTAGTTTTAATGATACACACACGCAAATCTCTCTAAAATATTACTTAAGGTTTTAGGGTTGTTTTCTGTTTTAATCTTTAATTTTCCAAGATTTGTTTGTTTTCCGATGTTGAATTTGGGGATTCTTTTTACAAGGGTGTCACAGGCAGAGCTTGAGCAGTGCTTCTGTTTCTATGTGAGAGGGGAAGGGCCCTTTAATATTTAATACCCTCATTGTCAAAATAATGTGCTGACATCAAAATATACATTTTAAATGAAAACAAAACAACACACACACACACAAACAAGCCAATGCTTTCAAAACTGACCTGGAAATAGAGATTGTTTTGGTTACACTTACAGCTCCCACATTCTTTGATGATGAATAATAATATGTCCGCGCTTTAACTGCCTCAGTCACAATCATTAGTGACGGACGGTTGTGCCTAAACAGTGGGGACCACTGAGCTTTGCTGAGTTGGGAGGAAGCCTGTGGCACCTGAAGACTTTGTCCTTGGCTCATCCAACATCCTAATTTTAAAAGGCAACGCTGTCAGCTCTGTGTGTGACCAGCTGGGAGATTCCAGATCCAGAAATCAAACTATATTGAGTGACTGGGTCTAGGGATCAAGTTCGGATAGTTAATAAGGGGGATAAAGGCAAAGTGTTATCTGTGGACCTGAAAACCCAACTCAATCCCTATCATAAAAGGCCAAAGGGGGACACAGAGTCACGACCAACTACCGGACTCACCAGAAGGTGCATTGTGGGTCCTGCAGCGGCCACGGCAGGTGGGACTTCTGGAGCATCACAGGGTGCCAGCAGCGTCCGCGGAGTTTGCGAGGCGTCGCAGGGCGGCAGACATGGACCCGATGGCAGGTTAGGCCTAGGGGACCCTACATGTACTCGATTTAATCGTGTGCTGGGCCTCTAGTTCTAAGTGTAAAAAAGAGAAGAAAGGCAAAAACATCATGATAGAAGGTTTTTGGCTGACAGTTAAATGTCAATTCAACAGTGACACTGACTGCTGGTATGTGGCTCTCGGTGTGTTAGCAATATGGACGGACCACTGTGTTGGCGATAGCTTACCAGGGAAGCTATCTTCAGAGGGACACTGCCCTTGGAGGGAGGGGGAGGGGGACACAGCTATGGGGGAGAGGGACACAGCCATCAGGGGAAGGGGGGACACAGCTGTCCGAGGGGGACCCAGCCCTTGGAGGGAGGGGGAAGGGGACACAGCTCTGGGGGGAGAGGGACACAGCCATCAGGGGAAGGGGAGACACAGCTGTCAGAGGGGGACACAGCCCTCGGGGGAGGGGGCACAGCTGGGTGAGGGCTGTGTGAGTGGCAGCTCCTGGTATCAGTGGGAGTCTGAGAGGAAGGTCCTGCCGCACAGCCCCGTGGAGGCCTCTGAGGCACATCCAGGCATGCTGGCTCCTGTCCACCAGGGACTTGGTCCCCCTGTGGCCTCAGACTGTAAGTGATGATGAAGGAAATCAATGAGGATGCGGCATGAGAACCATTTCCAGGAAGAGGACTAGGAGGGAGGCGGGCGAAGAGAAGGCTTTGGTTTTACAGGAACCTAGAGGTCCGAGAGGAAAATGGTCCCTGGAGATGCAGAGTGTCGTGGGTAACCAGGCTCGGGGCGTGGGAGGTGCGTGCTGTTTTAGAGCAGAAACGTTCTGCTTCGACGGAGATGCTTGTGAGATGGCTAAACGCGAACACTCCCTGCTTCTGCTCTCCTGACGGTCGTGTTTTTCTGCATAAATCAGTGTCTGGGAGGTCGGGTGGCAGAGGGACAGAGAGCAGCGGCCTGGCCTTCCTGGAGGCCGGCTCCCTCGTGGCCTCAGCTCAGCCTGCTCCTGGCCTCGCACTGCTCCCTTGCAAGGCACCACCCGCCCGTCTTCCTCCGTGGAGAGCTGAGCTGTGGCTCCCGGCCTAGTGAGCGCGCTCTCATGTTACGTGATCTTCCTAAAATACAAAGTGTGACAACATTGTTCTCGGAATTCAGGTTGGATGCAAAATGTGAAATGTTCTAATCAGATCTCAGTTCCCAGCCTGCAGGAAACAGAAGTGGCCCCTAAGAGAAACTGTCTCGTGCACAAATCTCCTGCTTTTAACACCAACGCCCAGGCGCGCGGGGCCTGCTCAGGGCTCTGCCCTCACCCAGTGCGCAGTGCTGTCCCCAGCCTCCTCCGGGGAACATAGAGGGTTCCGGACTGTGAGGACCCTCCCAGAGCGACGGCACCCTAACCCGGCCAAGGGGCCCTGCCCAGGACCACCACGGGCCTTGGCACTCAGCTCCCTTGTCGTCAATATTATATGTGAACCTTTACATGTTACACACAGAAAACCACTACCAGTGTCAATGTAGAAGGTCGTTTTCAAACAAAGTACAATTTTAAAAAATGAAAAGATCGTTATGTTGTGGCTGAAGGTCTGAGCCTGAAGCCTGTTCTCTGTTTGTCAACAAGGGGGTTAAAGGTGACGCTGTGACAGCTCTGTGACTAAACTAGAAGGTGGAGGAAGAACTGAAGAACTTCCAGACCACAGGCCCCAAGGCCAGCGAGCGCCAGATCCGCAGGCCTCAGCAGCCCTCAATGTCACTGAGCACCCCCGACGTCATAGAGTGCCAGGTCCGCAGGCCACGGGCAGCCCAGCTGCTGCTGCACCTGCAGGGTCTTGCCCTCATCTGTCTCCAGCTCATCCCATGGAGCTACCACTAAAAAGACATTCAAATGCACCTTCTCCTTGCTAGGCCTGCTTCTCATCTGACCTGTTATACTCGGCATATGTGTCACCCTTTCCCTAAACACACGTACTGCACACCCGTCACCCTTTCCCTAAACACACCCACTGCACACCGTCACCCTTTCCCTAAACACATCCACTGCACACCCGTCACCCTTTCCCTAAACACACCCACTGCACACCCGTCACCCTTTCCCTAAACACACCCACTGCACACCCGTCACCCTTTCCCTAACCATCACGCTGCACACGGGCTACAGTGAAACCTGGCCACAGGGTGGCAGCAGGTCTACGAGGCTGACAGCAGGCCCTCTGGACCCTTGTCTCCATCTTCTTACTCGCCATGCGTGCTGATCTCTGCACGGCTACATGCTCCCTTATGTTAAATCATGGGAGACAGTGGCTGCTGCGCACGGCCACACGCACACAGAGTGGCTGGAAGGCCGAGTGTTTAGATCCAGGCAGAATGGAAGACCCAGGGCAAAGTTCACTTTACCAATCAGATCACCACATCATCAAACCAATATAAAAGGCCAATTGGAAACCATCAAGATTTAAAATAATTAAAATTCTGGAATATGTATACAGAAAGGGGAAAACCTTCAAAAGAAAAGACGCTTTTTTTCTCAATTTCTCAAATTGCATCTTTATCCTCACACTTTAAAAATAATCGGCGTAATAACAGACAACTCACACACTGCTTCCGTCTCTCATGTTAATTTCCATTTTCTCGAGGCACCACCGGTGAATGTCAAGCTCCAACATGGAGATGGAAATACACATTCTTATAATTTTAATAAAATACTTCGCTGCCTCAACGCCATCGGTCATTTCTGCTTTTCCTCATTTTTCACACTGTGGGTGTGGTGCTTTCGAATTTGTCCTGTTCACACTGTTTGCTGACATTGCTGATAAACATTTTCAGAAAAGGGCATTATTCCTTGTACATTTTCACTGAGTGACATAACCCAATTAACCAAAAAAGAACTCACACTATATCTTAAAAAAAAAAGAAAAAAGCCGCCCAGTCAGTGTGGCTCAGTGGTTGAGCATCAACCTAGGAACCAAGAGGTCAGGGCACATGCTGGGGTTGTAGGCTCGATCCCCAGTAGGGGGCGTGCAGGAGGCAGCCATTCGATGGTTCTCTCTCATCAATGTTGCTATTTCTCTATCTCTCTCCCTTCCGCTCTAAAAATCTATAAAACACATTAAAAAAAGGGAAAAGAAAAAAGGCTCCCTGGTGGTATTACGCAGCAGTTAAGGAGGATGGGCAAGGAGGTTGCTCCGGGAGGGGGCAAGGACCAGCACCTGCCCATGCCCAGGTTATTGGCGGAGGTCAGAAATGGAGGTAGAAACATATGTTGAAAGATTAATATTTTTCTTTATATACTTTGTATTGTTTTACTTGTGAAACAAGTTTTAAAAGAAGAATTCAATAAATAACATTTAAAAACGTAATCTGGCCCGGCCGGCGTGGTCAATGGTTGAGTGTCGACCTATGAACCAGCAGGTCACAGTTTGATTCCTGGTCAGGGCACATGCCTGGGTTGCAGGCTCAGTCCCCAGTGTGGGGTGTGTAGGAGGCACCCGATCAAAGGTTTTCCCTCATCATTGATGTTTCTCCCTCTCCCTCTCCTTTTCTCCGAAATCAATAAAAATATATTAAAAACAAAAACGTATTCTGGACAAGAATCTAATGCACAGCCTGTGGGAGAGGACATGAGCTGGACGGCCAGTCAGAAGGCCGTGTGCTCTGGTGAGTGTAGAGGGCGCAGTGCAGACGCCAGACACAGCTCAGACAAGCCATGCAGACCCCAGAGTGAACGTGAGGTGCCTCCATGGACACGCCTGATGCCAACAATCCCCGTGTACAGGAAGTGCACCATATTACATGGAAAACAGCTTCAACTGCCCAGCCGGGTGGTGGCTCAGCTGGTGGGAGCACTGGTCCATGCTCCAAAAACAGGCTGCAGGTTTGATTCCCAGGCAGGACACATACCTAGGTTTCAGATTCGATCCCCAGTCAGGGTGCGAATGGGAGGCAACCAATCAATGTTTCTCCCTCGCTCTCGCTCTCTAAAATCAATAAAAATAAATAAAACCAAAAAAAGCTTCAGTTAACCAAAGAGACAAAAATTGAACTATGTAGCAAAATGCATACTTTCTATTATTTTAATTTTAAAAAGACTGTAATGTCATGGAGAAGACTAGTATTTACCTGAAGGAGAAACTTCATTGAAGCTACTAAGACTCACATGGATTTCATAAAAACAATTTGATCAGGGCAAGAGGAATACAAAATACCTTTTAATAAGCTGACTTTTCTTCTTGAAAAAGAGTCCCCTATAAGCTTTTATTTTGAAATAAGAGTAATGATGGCGACCGAGAAGTGGGCAGTATTTCCGGGTAGGGCTGCAGGCCCATCTGCTTGTTGTCCTTCAGCTTCTGCACTATGACTCTGGCAAATTCCTCTCCCTGGATGTCAGTGGTGTCCAGTAACTGCCTGACTTTGGCGGTCCTCGTGGGTTTGGTGCTGATGAGTTCGTAGTCCTCCTTCATGATCAGGTCCCGGGACAGCAGGGCGTCCAGCGCCTGGTTGAGGCAGGCCTCGGTCATCTGGCTCACAACATCCTCCCTTTTGCTCTGGATCCATTGCTGGGCCACCCCAGGCTGTGATCGCTCTGCACAGAGCCGGGGGACAGGTAAAAGGTGAAGACAGACACGTGCAATGAAGAAAACAAGATGAAAAAGAAATGAGGAGGCATAAAACCTGTCTTTACTGTGACTGTGCTAATAGGAAACCAGTACTTTGGGGAGATGCTGTTAATTTTCAGGAAACAGATATTTGAGTTATTTCTTCTCATCCCTCCTGGAAAAGCACTCCTTTTTATCTGCTATAAATCATGGGGCAAAACCTTTTTCTAAGTTTTAAAAAATGTGTAAAAGATACCTGCATGTTTGTTAGATAAACAAAAGCAACTTTGCCTTTAGTAACATATTTGGTCACACCTGTGCCCAGCCACCTTCCCCTCCCCAGACCTTGAGGGATCGGCCCCTGAGCTGTGACCACGCGCCGGCCCCTGAGCTGTGACCACACGACCCTGAGCTGTGACCGCGCGCCGGCCCGAGCTGTGACTGCACGACCCTGAGCTGTGACTGCACGACCCTGAGCTGTGACCACGCGCCGGCCCCTGAGCTGTGACCACACGACCCTGAGCTGTGACCGCGCGCCGGCCCGAGCTGTGACTGCACGACCCTGAGCTGTGACTGCACGACCCTGAGCTGTGACCACGCGCCGGCCCCTGAGCTGTGACCGCGCGCTGTCCCCTGAGCTGTGACCACATGGCCCCTGAGCTGTGACCACGTGCCGGCCCCTGAGCTGTGACCATGCGCCGGCCCCTGAGCTGTGACCACGTGCCGGCCCCTGGTGCTGGGGCTGGAAGTGCTTCCCGACTTCAGAATGTCCGTGTTCCCCACATTGGGAGAGTGAAGACAGTAGCCCTGACGTGGCAAACCTACTGGGCAGAGTGGAGAGGTGTCTGTACTGCCAAAGAGCGAGGGGCGGTCTCGTGGTCACACATCAGGGCCGTCTGAGCCGCAGACACGTCATCCCAGCTGTGATTGGCCGGGCGGGGAAGCAGGGTGGAAAGGTCCGGGGTTTTTCCTGAAAGACAATGTTGCTACTGGGGGAGGATATCCTTAGTTCCTCCTGCAGCTCAGCTGTCAGCATGGGCCACACAGGGGAGGGCACACAGTGCCCACTGCACTGCTGCTTGCGCTGCGTGTCCACCTGATTCTGCAAGTAACTGCTCAGACCAGGAGGGTCACACCGAATGTCCTGCCACACTCTCGCTGTCTGTCTGTCCCAAGTAAGTGACATATCATGGGATTTTACTTCTCCATGTCGCCCCTCCCTCCTCTGCGTCTCCGCACTTTGAACTGTCCTCTGACTCGGTGTGTGATGTGTTTCCTATGCTCTCCTTGGTTACCCTCGCCACCGCAGGCCTCAGCGGTCACCTCTTCCCAAGTCCATGTAATTACCTTTTCTGACTTCATGGAACCTCGGTCTCACATTTTAAGCAGCCAACTGGACAGCGCCCTCATGCATGCTGCTGAACACCTCGTTAAAAAACATTAAAAAGTGAACTGCTCACCTTAACTCTAGAACCCGTTCTAGTGACTAGCACCAATGCTCTGCCAGTCCTGGCTTCTCTGTCCCTCCTGCCAGTGAGGAGGGGCCTCACCCTATCGGAGACAACACCCCCAGCCCCTCCTGTGCTCTGGTCAGGCCTCCTAGCCCCCCGCTGTGGCTGTGCTGCAGCAACAGACCAAGTCTCCCAGCTGTTCCCCCACCTCGTCTCCTTGCTCTCCCCAAGTAGCCTAGAGTCCGGCCCGAAGGACTCTTCCTAAAGCAAAGGATTTCATCCCGTCACTCCCTTGCTCAGAAGTGTGCAGTGATGGCTCCCCACCCTGGTCGGCCTCGCCACACCTGGCCTCCCTGTCCATGCGCCCTGCCCTGCGAATCCGAGCCCCGACGCTGTCGCTCGGCCTGGAACGCCCACCCATTACCCACCCTTCGTAAGGACAGCTTCAGCCTCCGCCAGTAAATTCTTCGTGATGGCAGAGCCGAGCAGAGCAACAGGAAAACACTGATCAAAACACCCGCTTCCAGCTGCGGACGTGCAGCTCCTGACCATGGATCCAGAGTCCCTAAGGCTGCTGTGAAGACGCCCTCCCCAACCCATAGCTCTGTCACCTCCCCTGCACCCGCTGCGGCCACACTGTGCACACACAGGCACACTGCTCCTCTTTCTCCCGAGAGACTGTCTGTATTTTCCTGTGCTGCCCCGCAGCATGCCTTTCACACGGGAGGGGTCTCCTGAACATCCCAGGATGCTGTACTGTCTGTCCCTTTGTGAACATGCGTCATGGATGCCAATGGGAGACACGTGCCACACACACTGTGATTGTTTGCAAGAATATCAGCTTGAAAGAAAGTGGAAACTTGTAGCCAAACCGACGACAAACCGTACGTACCAGACACAAGGCCATCGTGCTGAGCAGCGCACAGGGATCTGGCAGCTCCAGGAGAACCGCTACTTTTATGACACTGAGAAAATCCACAGGATTCCTGAGGTGAACAGGGACACACGATTTAGGCTAAAGAAAAATCATTCAAAAGTTATACAGCTTTAATTTCTAAACAGTTCTTGCTTGTGGCTTATTATAAACAAAGAATCAAAACGACAGTTACACCTTACAAAGTAAAAAGCCACATATATCAAGTAAACAAAAAACCTGATTTTTAAAATCAACTTAAATTGGGGGAAGAATGATAACATATTAGAAATGATAACTTTTCCAGTATTTGCTATATGATCTTAGAGGCTCTGTACAGTTGATGAGAAACTTGAAATCTGCAACTCTAGTTCCCTGCTGATGTAGAGCAGGTGCCTTCTCTTTCTGCCCACGCCCCACCCGCCCCCGGGGCCCACAGAAGTGGTGGAGCATGGATGCGCCTCCCCCAGGCTTCCGCCCTCGGGCGCTGGGCTTTGCCAGTGCTGTCTGTCCCCTCTGTCTACAGTGTGCACGTGGCTCTGAGAGCGGAGACCGTGTGCACGGCAGATGGAAAGCCCAGTGCTGTGCTCTAGTGCTCATGCTGAAGGCCTTTTCTGAGTCTGTGAAGTGGACATACGTTTTCTGAAGAGAAATGACCGAGATGCGGTGAGCCCGAGTGGATGCCCTCAGGAGCCCTTTCCCCGTGCACAGCCACACGGTGCCACTCCCCTTCCCTCCTCCCGGGCGAGGGAAGGACAGGCAGATGGACAGTGCAGAGCTCGGTCAGGGTGGGCCCAGCACCACCAGAGCAATGTCCCCCATGCCGATCCATGGGGACACAGTGCGCCACACAGGCCACAGGGCTGGCTGGGCGAGGAGCAGGGGCTGGATGAGGGATTTCTAGCTGGGCACGGCCCTGGGCCATGGGCAGATCCCAGCACCTCCCCAGGAGTTAGACTGGGTGACTTTCCCAGATTCTCAGATTCTGAGTTTATCAACAGAAGTTCTGTTTACCTCCAGTGGACCGTGATTTAGAGAGAGGTTCAGAGATGCCTCCGATTTCTTGTCACATATGTGGACAGCACTCAGAGCGCTCTGCACCTGGAGCGGACACATACAGGTGCTTTAACTGGAGTAACAAATCACATGAGTAAAATTCTTTAACAAATCAGCTTATCCTAAATGGTGATCTTTGTTTTTACCAATTTCTTTATGAAAGTCTTATTAAATTTATATTCTATTCCTGGCCCTGCCGTGGGCTGGCTGTGTGGGTGCTGTGTCACTGACATCCACGCACCTCCATGATCTTACCAGTGCGATGGCAACAAGATCCTGCCCTACGAGTTTCACAGTACTGATATAAGGATTAAAATATATATATATTTTATTGATATCAGAGAGGAAGGAAGAGGGAGAGAGAGAAACATCAATGATGGAAGAGAATCACTGATTGGCTTCTTCCTACACACCCCCTACTGGGGATCGAGCCTGGAACCAGGGCATGTGCCATGACCAGGAATTGAACCATGACCTCCTGGTTCATAGGTTGATGCTCAACCACTGAGACACACAGGCCACGCAATATAAAATTTTTTTAAAAAAATTAAAGAATAACTATAACAACCCTAAATGAAAACAATACAGTAAGTTAAAAACAATGATGAAAGTGATGCTATTATTAAATGACTAGAGGCCCGACACACAAAATTCGTGTACTGGGGAGGGGATCCCCTCAGACCAGCCTGTGCCCTCTTGCAGTCCGGAAGCCCTTGGGGGATGTATGACTGATGGCTTAGGCCCGCTCAGTCAGACATCCTTAGTGATGCTGTGGAGGCGGGAGAGGCTCCCACCGCCACCACTGCGCTTGCCAGCCATGAGCCTGGCTGCTGGTTGAGTGGCGCTGCCCTGTTGGAGCGCACTGACCACCAGGGGGCAGCTCCTTCACTGAGCTTCTGCCCCCTGGTGATCAATGGGCGTCATAGTGACGGGTCATTCCTACCGTTCGGTCAATGTGCATATTAGCCTTTTATTATATAGGATATTTAAGTATTTATAATTATATAACTTAATTTATTTAAAAAGCCAGACTTCTAAAAATTAACAGTTTTAAATACAGATCCTAATATAAGTTGTTTGTGGACAAAGGAACTGGAATGGTTCTTTTCTACTTTAAAAACCAAGAAAGCAGATCCTTTGGTACACCTTGGTTAGAAGAAGAGAAAGTTATGAGGAGAGAAAAGAGAACTGAAAAGATAAAGCAAAAAGAAATGTTATTGACGTTTGTATCTACTAAGAAGTGGATAAGATGAAATGTTCTGGAAAACACTGTACCTACTCAGAAGTGGATAAGTCAGTAAAAAGTTATCAAAAGGATTAACACAGTTTCTCTTTAGTTATTTCTCTGAAGTCTTCAGAGTAATAGATATCCGGGTTCTTACACTTCTCTTTGTCCAGTGCTCTCGGGCTTTTCTGTGATTTATAGTAAGTTAAGCTGTTAGTGCCTTAAAACACTCAGGCACTAACTAGTATTGTCCCCATCAATTCTTAGTTTGGTTAAGGGAAGCCATTTCCTTTATGCGTGTCCCTTCTACATCAGAGGCTGTGTCAATCGATCCTGCAAACTGGATCATATTTCAAAGGCAACATAAGGAAATCCAACAAGTGCTAAACTATGCTTACTCTGCCCCCGAAAGGACTACAGTGGCTTTTAAACAACTTTAATGTTGAGAAAACCCTGCAGTGTTGGGTCCCTTCAGTTTTTCTGATCTGAAAGAGCCAGGAAGACAACTGTCCTAGATCACATCAACAGAGACTGGTCTATGCAACAAGTGAGTAGGATAACAAAATCAAAAAGCAATTTAAAAAATAAACATTTTGTGTATTAATCCTCAAATAATACACAAAATAAAATACACTTAATAAAAATCCTACAGCTTAACTTACCATAAATCATAGAAAAGCCCGAGAACACTGGACAAAGAGAAGTGTAAGAACCCGGATATCTATTACTCTGAAGACTTTAGGGAAATAACATGTGGATTAAAAAGTTGATTTACGGAATTCATTGTACACACTGGCATTCATGACACTTTTTTTTCCTTCTGTCTTATTTCTTTTCTTTCCTTTTTTTTTTCTTTATTGTTGGACGTATTACAGATGCCCACTTTGTTGGTTTTAAAAATATATATATCTTTATTGATTTCAGAAAGGAAGGGAGAGGGAGGGATAGAAACATCAATGATGAGAGGGAATCATTGATCGGCTGCCTCCTGCACACCTCACACTGGGGATCCAGTCCGCAAACCAGGCATGTGCCCTGACTGGGAATCAAACCGTTACTTCCTGGTTCATAGGTGGATGCTCAACCCGAGTCACCCGGCTGGGCATGTTTGTTTTTTTCATTGAACCCCTCCATCCCGCACCTGCCCCTCCCAGGCCTTCACCACTCTATTGTCTGTGTCCATATTTGCATATAAGTTCCCGGGTTAATCACTCCCCACCTACTCACCCACCCCCACCTTCCCTCTGGAATTCACCAGTCTGTTCCATGCTTCTATGTCTCTGGATCTATTTTTTTCATCAGTTTATTTTGTTGATAAGATTCCACATATGAGTGAGATCATGTGATACTTATCTTTCTCTAACTGGCTCATTTCACTTAGTATAAGACTCTCTAGGCCCATCCTTAAAAGATAAGAGTTCTTTCTTTTTGACAGCTGCATAGTATTCCATGGTGTAAATTACCACTGCTTTTTTATCCATTCATCTGCTGATGGGCACTTGGGCTGTTTCCAAATCTTAGCTATTTAGTTGCACTGCTATGAACATTGGGGTGCATACATTCTTTCTGACTGGTGTTTTTGATTTCTTAGGATATATTCCTAGAAGTGGGATCATTGGCTCAAATGGCAGTTTCATTTTTAAGTTTTTGAGGAGACTCCATAGTGTTTTCCACAGTGGCTGCACCAGGCTGCCTTCCCACCAGCAGTGCATGAGGGTTCCCTTTTCTTTACATCCTCGCCAGCACTTGTCATCTGTTGATGGTAGCCACTCTGACAGGTGTGAGGTGGTATCTCATTGTTGTTTAAATTTGCATATCTCTGATAATTAGTGACTTTAAGCATTTTTTTCATATGTCTCTTGGCCATTTGTATGTCCACTTTGGAGAAGTGTCCTGACACATTTTATATTAAAATGTAATATATAGGAGTTCTGGAAATGCCTGGAATCTGGAGATGGCCATCTGAATGGCATGGAAAAGCCTTTCAGTGACAGAAGGAGAGCATTTATAACCTCTCATAAACGCTCCGCCCCAATACTATAGCCCATACTTGTGAAAAGTACACAGGTAAGAATTACAAACTAAATCGAATGTCTCCGTGACTAACATATAGTTGTTTAAAGTCTGATTTCCAGCATTTCATTTAGCAATTATTTACCTTTGTTTTCTTTAGTTGCAAAACAGCTTCAAGAAAACTTATCTCTTCATATGTTCTCAGGACTGGCTCAAGTTCTATTAAACATTCTAAATAAGAAAAAAATTAGAGTTCAGATTGCATCTAGTCATTAAATTGAATAATATAAATGCTAATATTTAACTGATAAGGCCCTACGTCAATTTTTCCCACTAATGACAACCAACTGTCTTAACAGGCTTTATTACAGGCATAAAGATATCATATATACACCATAAACAAAAGTAAACTTAAGATGGATTAAACTTAAATATAAGACCTAGAACAATAAAACTCCTAGAAAAAAAGGCAATAAACTCCTTGATATCAGTCTTGGCAATATCTTTTTAATATTCAGATTTTCCTAAAGAAGCAGCATCTGCCTCAGCAGGCCCCACACCTCTCTCTAAAAGGCCCCAGGCCAAGATGTTTCCTCAGCAAGGCCAGCAAAAACAAAAATAAACAGTGGGACGACATAAACAAAAAAGTTTTTGCACAGCAAAGGAAACCATCAACAAAATGGGAGATTATTTGCAAATAATCTATCCAATAAGGTGTTAATATCCAAAATATATAAGGAACACATACAATTTAACACAATCCAACTGAAAAATGGGCAGAGACCCTGAACAGACATTTCTCCAAAGAGGACATACAGATGACAAATAGATACATGAAAAGATCCTTAGCATCACTAATCACCATGGAAATGCAAATTAAAACCACAATGAGGCATCACCTCACACCTACCAATGTTGATCATCAATAATCAACAAATAGCAAAAAATAAAAATAAAAAGATCAACATATAGGAAGTGTTGGTGAGGATGTGGAGAAAAGGGAACCCTCGTGCACTGTTGGTGGGACTGTAAATTGGTGCAGCCCTGTGGAAAGCAGTATGGAGGTTCCTCAAAAAATCAAAAATGGTACTTCCATATGACTCTGCAATCCCACTTCTAATATTTATCCAAAGAAAACAAAAACACAAATTTGAAAAGATATGTGCACTTCTGTGTTCATTGCAACATTATTTACAACAGCCAAGACATGGAAGCAACCTAGGTGTTCACTGACAGACAAAGGGATCAGGCTGTGGTTCAGTGCACAATGGAAAGCATATATTGAGCCATACAAAGTAATGCCATCTTGCCATCTGAGACAACATGGATGACTAGAGGGTCTTATGCTGAGTGAATTAGGCAGGACAGAGAAAGAAAAATGCCATATGATTTCACTTACATGGGGAATCCAGAAACAAAACAGAAACGGACTCAGATACAGAGAACAAACGGATGGTTGCGAAAGGGGAGGGGAGCGGGGAGGTGGAAAAAATAAGATAGGCATCTAGATCAGTGGAACAGAATCAGAACTGAGAGTCTAAAGTTAAATCCTTCCAATTATGGTCAACTGCTTTTTGACAAAATTGAAAAGGACATTTAACGGGGACAGGATCGTCATTCCAACCAGTGGCTCTGGGACAGTCGGAGAGCCACAGGGACACAGATAAACTTACTCTTACCCACAACAAATGTGGACTTCACCTGAAACGGACATGCACCCAAGTGGAATATAGGAGAGAGTTTTCATGACCTTGGGCTGGGCACAGAATTCTTAGCTATGACTTAAAAACAGGGTCCAGCCGAAACCGGTTTGGCTCAGTGGATAGAGCGTCGGCCTGCGGACTGAAGGGTCCCGGGTTCGATTCTGGTCAAGGGCATGTACCTGGGTTGCGGACACATCCCCAGTGGGAGATGTGCAGGGGGCAGCTGATCAATGTCTCTCTCTCATTGATGTTTCTAACTCTCTATCTCTCTCCCTTCCTCTCTGTAAAAAATCAATAAAATATATTAAAAAAACAAACAGGGTCCATGCAAAACTGGCAAATGAACTTCAAAATATTGAAAACTTTTATTCTTCAAGAGACGCTATTAAGAAAAATGAAATACTGGCTACAGACTGACAGACCACGTCTGCATGTCACGTGTCTGCTGGAGGACTTGTGTCTAGAATATACAAAGAACACTGGGCAGCTTAATCAGACAAATGGCCCAATATAAAATGGGCAAAAAATTAAATTTCACCGAAGGGGAGATACAAATGAGTAAAAAGCACATGAAAATAGGTGTAACATCATCAGCCATTAGGAAATGCAAATGAAAACGACAATGAGATAGCACTCCATACCCACGGAAAGAACTGCAATTAAAGCACAGACAGCAGCAATGCAGACACAACCTCAAGTCCTCCTGCTGCTGATGGGAACACAAATGATGCAGCCACTGTGAAAGTTTGGCAGTTTTTAAAAAAAATGGCATATAAATTTATCATAAACTGAGCAATTTCACTTATAGTTACTGAGAGAAATGGAAACACATTCACACAGATGGGCAGGTGAGCAGTCACAGCAGCAATGTTCCCGCGGCCCACGCGTGGGAACACTCAGAATTACCATCATCACTAGGAGAAAATGAACCTGCTGCTCGAGGGAGAGGCCAGCACTCCAGGTAGAAAACTGAGCGTCACACAGAGGTGGTGGACAGGGCCACGGCGGGAAGTGTCACTCACACGGAGGTGGTGGGACAGGGCCACAGCAGGCCTGCCACACTGTGAAGAGTATGGAGCAAGGAGATGAGGACCTGGAGGGGCTGAGGCTCTGATAGTTAGAAGTTGAGGGAGGAAGAGAAATGATGGAGGAAGAGATGTATTCTTTTGTGTCTTGAAACCACCAGAGGGAAAGTTTCAAGGAGAGTTTCACTTTGGAGAAGAGAAGACATCAGGATGATCATCTAAGATAGCAACTCTCCAGCCTTTAGGGCTCAGGACTCTTCAAAATTACCCAGCACCCCAAGAGCTTCTGTACATGTGGCCATGTCTTCTGATATTTAGTATATGAGAAATTAAAACAGAAAAGCTTAAAACAAGAATATATGAGAACACATTGTGTTATCTGTGAGAGCAATGATACCATCAAGCCTGTTTAGCTTCTTGAAATCCACTCTTGAAGGATGAGTAAAAGGGAAGCGTGTCCCTGTATTTATTATTTTGAAAACAGTGTTGGTTCTGAGAACCGAGTCTCCGGGAGCAGCCCCCAGAGCCTCACCCCTCAAGGCAGCGGGTGTCTCAGAGGGAAAGTTCAGATCTTTCAGAAGCAGTTTTAGTGCCCAGTTTGGGCCATTGATTGAAAGAGAAACCAGGGCCCTGGCTGATTTGGCTCAGTGGATAGAGTGTCAGCCTGCACACCGAAGGGTCCCGGGTTCGATCCTGGTTAAGGGCACGTACCCCGGTTACAGGCTCCTCCCTGGTCTGGGCCCTGGTCAGGTGCATGTAGGAGGCAACCAATTGACGTGTTTCTCTCACATTGATATTTCTGTCTTTCTCTCTTCCGCTCTCTGAAAATGGGAAAATATCCTTGGTAAGGATTAAAACAATAAAATAAAATAAAGAGAAATCAGGGACTTCCACTTGGCCAAGATGGAGTAATAGGGACCGATTTACCATCCTGCTTTTTTTTTTTTTGATATATTTTATTGATTTTTTACAGAGAGGAAGGGAGAGAGATAGAGAGCTAGAAACATCCATGAGAGAGAAACATTGATCAGCTGCCTCCTGCACATCTCCTACTGGGGATGTGCCCACAACCCAGGTACATGCCCTTGACTGGAATCGAGCCTGGGACCTTTCAGTCCACAGGCCGACGCTCTATCCACTGAGCCAAACCGGTTTCGGCAACCCTCCTGCTTGAAAAAACCAAAAAGGTCAGACAAAATGTATGAAAGAGTGGGTTTTTAAAAAATACATGTTTTTTGGGTGTGGAGAGAGCAGAGCGCCTGAAGAACGGCTTCTCAGTGTACAACACATCCAACAGCAACTTGGGTTTACTCCTCACGGGGGGCAGAGTACTATAGCCTTCCTGTGACATTACGCCCTATACATGAAAAAAAAAATACATGTTTTTTTTTTGTTTCAGAGAGAGAGGAAAAGGGAGAGAGAGAAACACCAATGATCGGAATCATTGGTTGGCTGCCTCCTGCACACCCTCTACCAGGGATCGAGCCCGCAACCTGGACATGTGCCCTTACTGGGAATAGAACCATGACCTCCTGGCTCATGGCTTGATGCTCAACCATTGAGCCTCACCGGCCGGGTGAAAGAGTGGTTTTTAAGACAGCAGCTATCGGGCAACAAAGGACAATGATCGGAGACGTGAAACAGAGAAACAGATGAGGGAGCCTTAGGACTGCAGGCTTACTGCCTTGAGAGAGGCACCTGAGTGAGATGGGGACCCGGCAGACAGTTCACAGGCAGAGAGGAAAAGCACACAGAAGGCCAGAGATGCTCAAGGGCTCCTCCAAGGACCAGAGCCCTGACCCATGAGGGTGCGGGAGTCAGTAAGCCGTCGCCCCAGGCTTCAGGGAGCAATAGGAAACCCAGGAAGTGTG